AGTAGGGATAGTGAGTAGGTCGAGCATAGCTGACCAACCTGAGGCATAGTTTAGCTACTGTTTATGTGCTTATCTTTGTTTTGCATTTGGTTTGGGTCTAAGTCTAAGTTTTATACCATACTAGTTAATAAAGTACTTATATCTTTGCATTAGGCCATTAGTATACTGAAATAGTGCCAAACTCCATTTGGCTCTATTTTGCATGTTAGTCCTAGCATTGTGATATTGGATACTCTAAGACTATTTCAAGTCACTTTGTCCTTCTGTCCATTTGTTTCTTGGGCTGTACGCTCAAGAATTGCTTTGTGCTTTAGTACCTTCACGCCTTGGCCCCATGCTAAGGAGTTTGGCTCCATTCTTTCATTTAGTGGCTTAAGACCCTAAAACTTGGGTTCTGCTTCACTGTCTTTGGACATGTGGCATATGGCATGTGGCATATAACATGTGGCATATGGAGGGTTTTGGTGGTTATCATATGGTAAATCACCATAGAATAAAAGGTGAAAACCATATGCACTACAAAGTAACTTTAGTCAAAAGTTGAGCAGTTCATATTATGCACTAGAAGTGAAAATGGCTACATCCAAGTTGAAGTTGATGACATTGTGGAGGTACAGAAGTATGGTTTTGTAGTAGTGCACTCAGTGTTACATCAATAGAAGATAATGAAGGTGCACATTTTAGTGTTGAGTAATGCTGGTAGATATGAAGTTGCAAGTAGAGTTCTTATGTTCATTGGCTGGTCTGATTTACGATGCACCAAAAACACTCAAGTAAGTAGTGATAGAGATGGTTGACTGCAAATAAATTACATACTATAAATTTTTTAAGTTATGATTTGTTCAAAACATATGTCTACATAACTCTTTCAGAAGGCCACATTCATTTCACACAAAAAAAACCACTTCACTTCAGCACTTCAGATGCCCTATTTCCAGTTTACTTGCTCTATTTTTTGAGGTTTCTGTACACATGTTAGTGTTGAGCAGCATTCCAGGGATGATTGTTTGGGAGATCAAGTGTCTAAATGATCCTGAACTGAAAAAGGAGATAAAGAAGTAGTTGGAAGCTGTTCAAGATGTGTTGCGGATTAGCTCTGCCATCTAGGAATTGGCCAATGGCTTTAACATTGCAATAAGTGAATATGAAAAGGTCTACAAAGAGCTCCAAATAGTGAAAGGCCAAATCATAGTTATAGAAAGGATGCTTGAGGAGGTTCTCAAATACACAAGGGCTAATAACTAAATGTCTTCCAGTTTAGTTTCTTTTCCTTTCCTTACTGCTATAGTGTGTGATCCTTGTGTACTTGTTCTGAATCTATGTCATTTTCATGTTCTGTTTTTCAGGGACAAAAAAATGTAAGAAAACTTTTCTAAGGTAAAAAGAGGCCATGAACTATCACACACTGATTGCCATAATGCTGAAAAAAGCCACTTTAAAAAGCCATAGTTTATTCATAAGACACTCTCATAACTATATAACAACCAAAAGCCATTTTCAAATACCACAATACTTTTAAAAAA